ACTGAGGTCGAAAACCAAAGTTTTGAATTTAAAAATTTGAACTTACGTCTTGTTGTTTTTGGATCACCATGTTCGAGCTCTCTTCATTCAAAGATAAACCTTTCCTACCACCTCCTACTATCATCGCCCCCTCAGTTCAAAATTTGAAATTCAACCCTACTGTTTATCCTCTCGAAAACCGAATGTCCTGACACCACACCGAAGTCGAAAGCCGAATTTCGACAAAACCAAATAGAGATCATCGACCTACCACCGAGGTCTGCAAATAAACTCCCTGAGTTGCTCGAAATGAACTTCCTCGACCCGCCACCGAGGTCGAAAAATAAATTCGACGAAACCGAGAACCAAATAAAGATCATCGACCTGCCACTGAGGTCTCCAATAGGATCTATGTCTTCACCGACCCAACACTAGGATCGACCACCCAGCCCGGAGGCCTTAATCATGGTGGATTTTGGTCTTCGAACACATGTCCACCCTCAAATGAGTGGTCGTTACATGTGACCACCCAGCCCGGAGGCCTTAGTCATGGTGGATTTTGGTCTTCGAACACATGTCCACCCTCAAAGGAGTGGTCGTTACATGTGACCACCCAGCCCGGAGGCCTTAGTCATGGTGGATTTTGGTCTTCGAACACATGTCCACCCTCAAAGGAGTGGTCGTTACATGTGACCACCCAGCCCGAAGGCCTTAGTCATGGTGGATTTTGGTCTTCGAATACATGTCCACCCTCAAAGGAGTGGTCGTTACATTTGACCACCCATCCCAGAGGCCTTAGTCATGGTGGATTTTTTCTTCTAGCACTTGCCCACCCAATCCGAGGAATGTTCGAAACAGGAGGCCACCCAGCCCGAAGGCGAGGGCTTTTTCGACCAACCTGCCCATTCCAAGGGGTGTACAAAACAAGCGACCACCCAGCCTGAAGGCCTTAGTCGTGGTGGATTTTGTCTTCAAACAATCCGAATACTTCGACCTGCCACTGAGGTCAAATAGGAGCACATCGAGCACAACAAGATATGATAGAAAAATAATCGATCATTCTCGTTAGTCCCATCTGATGCATAGTTATATCGAACAAGATATACAAATAAACAAAATCAAGTATTTTTTTTCAACCTCCTTTCCTGTCTGAACATGACGACTTGAGTTGTTGTTTACTCCATGCTTTCCGCTCCGCACCGTAATCAATATCCAGTTCACATGCTCATGCATTTTCCTCCGCAAGAATTCAACAGATTCCATTAGTTGCGTTTTATCTACATCATCCAATTTGCAATCCCGATAGCAATAATAACAAAAGACGAATAAATCAAAGCAATCACACTGGTCTACATTCGTTTACACCACACCTCAATCTACATGCAAGTCTCTACCACGGTATGAAACCGCATAAACATCCACTCAAATGTACAGTCGACCAGAATATCACAAAGCCATGAATTCAACAGACAGGTACAACAATCCATACTCCGCAGCTACAAACAATCATTAAACGAATGCACCAAATAAAAATTCGAATGAATTATTCTCAATACCGAGCACCGTAGTCATGACGACTCAAGACTGGCCAACCCGAAAGCCTTAGTCGTGCAAGAATTTTTTCAAGGCTCCAAGTACACCTCATTTTCTGCATTTTGTTAGTCACCCAAATAATAATTCCAAACATATCCACATACACCATACTATCAACAACATTTCACCGAAAATACTCAAACAATGAACATTTCTCCCAAAAAAGAATGCTAAGAGACTCCACATGTCACAAAATAGTGTCAGTCGATCTTGACCATCGACAAGAGTTGAGATTAATTTTATACCTGAAGGTCGAGACTGTAGCTCCCAGTTATCATACCTCTCTAGAAAAGAATGATTTCTGCCTTTGCAACTGCCACCACCGATCGGCACCATCCATACTCGTCCCTCATTGTCACCCTGCTTTGATGGTTTCGTGTTCGCTCATTGTGTCCTCGAAACCCCACAACTCGTCCGCCATCGCTTGTCGAGACTCGGGTTATTTCGATGTTTCCTTGACAAGAATTCAAAGAGACATCGTTATCCATATTATGTTCACGTCATCAATTTTGCCATTCTCCATGCAAGAAAAAATAAGAGATCAAATACAATCATCACCATCTCCTCGATCTAAGACATGCTCGAGCAATGACACGCTTAAATATTATGAATAATCAATTCAAGCAAAATTCCACATTGTCCCATAAAAATCTAAACGAGAGGTTCCGAGTATATCCATATATCAAATCACATAATTTGAATCCATCTCTCGAGCCCATCGATAAATGCACCAAACACACGGTAAGCACCACCACAAAATGTCCTCAATTCGAGATCACGACTCGCATTTAATTTCAATCAAATAAATTCTCCGCGAATAAATCCAATAATATCTTCACGAATAAGTCAAACAATATCTCCACGAGCAAATCAAATAATTTCACGATCGAATCAGATATCATCACAAAAAAAATCAAATAATTCCATGATCGAATCCAATATCACCACGAACAAATCAAATAATATCTCGAATAAATCACATAACCTCCTCGAGTAAATCAAATAATGCTCCACGAATATTGCAAATATTCTCCACGAAATAAATCAAGTAATTCTACTCGAATGAATCAAATATTCTCCTCAAATAAATCAAATAATATCCTCGAATCAATCAAATATTTCAACGAGTATATCCAGTAATGATCCACAAATAAATCAAATGATTTATCCAATTTTGTCAATTTAAAATTCCCTTGAGCCCATAATTGAGATAAATCGCATACCTTTATCACGAGAATTATATTTCAAATTACCTCACCCGGGTTCAAACTAGGGATATTTGAGCTCCATGGGCCACAATGGAGATGATAAGCCATGGGAAAATGTCTTTAGGCCGCAAAAAATGTCTCTGGGCCGCTAAAGGTGGCTGCTAAGTCGGGCTTAGGGGCAGCAGGGGCGAGTTTGGGCCACTTGTTGGGCCTGGAGCGGGCTCTTCGCAGGCCGATTGCTGAGGGAGGCGCGGGCTAAATTCGGGCTCTCGCGGGCCAAACAATGTGTGATGAGCGGGCCGAGTGGGCTGAGCGCGGCCCGTGCGCTGGAGATGATGAGATTTGGGCCGCGGGTATATTGTTGGGCCTGACCACGAAGTGGGCTTTACTCCTGGTGGATCGCGTGTCGCGTCACTGGGCCTCCCTACGAGCGGGCAAATCAGCTGGGCTGCGGCGAGCTGCTCGAATTTACGCCCAAAATCCGCTCGACGGGAAAATACGAGCTGTAGTCTGCCGGAAAAAATGTCGTCGGCCGAGGTCGTTGGCTCTGGCGGGAATGACGAGCCGGGGGTGCGCCTCGATGAGTAGAATCCGGTGGTGCTGTCGGTTCAAAGTGGTTCACCGGAAATCGATGGAAAAATGGAAAAGATGACCGGATTTGACCAATTTGTTCTTAGATCCACAAACTTTGACTGGCGAATTGATGGCCTTATCGGAGGAATTTTTGCACGAAATTATAAGGGTAGGACGAGCACGATGAGAGCTTCGTGATGGTGTAAGAACTTTCCAGATCGAAGGACTGTGACCGGCGGAGGACGGCGGCGGCGGTGGCGGGTAGCGGCGGCGGACGGCGGCGGCGGCGGGGGTCAGTTACTGTAGATTCTTCTCGTTGAGAGGATTCCAATGGTAGTTCCGAATTTTTCGTAGCCATCACGGATTGCCGGGAAAATTGATTTGAAGGTCGAGAGTTGACCAGAATTTCTTAGATCCGAAAATATTGACCGACAAAATTGACGGCCTTCCCGGATGAATTTTCGAATGAGATTTTTAGGGGGGATTCACCACGACGAGATCTATTCGTTGACGTAAGCAATTTTACGGTCCGAGCCCTTTGGCCGGCTAAGTCGAAGGAGGATTTTCATAATTTTTCGATCGGAACACCGTTTGGCTTTTTGAACGAGGTCCCACAGACGGCACCAATGAAGTGAATAAGATTTCACTCGGGCTCCTTCGACTCGGTCGGCCTACGTACCTGCAAGAACCCAACGCCGGGAGGGGTCCCGGCGTCGGGCCTCCGACGCTCAAGTCAGAATCACTCCAAATCCCAAGTGTATAGTATTGAATATCGAGAGAGTGAGAGAATGTGATACCTTAGCCCCTTTTATAGGGGAATGTACCTTATGGCCCAAGTTGGGCTTGTCCAATAGCATCATGCCACGTGTCCTAGCCATGTGTAGGCTTATTCTTCAATTTATCTCTTTTTTATCCATTAAGGCTGGTCTAGTATATAATATCCTATATCAGAAATCATAATTTGTGTTACCCAAAGGAGTTAGACTATCTGAGTGGTAAACTAGCATGTAATCCGGAGTTCTTTCTAAATACTTAAGAATATGCTTTACCACAGTTCAATGTCCTTGACAAGAGTTAGACTGATATCTAACCATCATGCCAACCGCATAGCAAATATCAGGTCTCGTGCACAGCATGACATACATAAGGCTTCCTACAACTGAAGCATAATGAACCTTAGCCATTTCCTCTATCTCCTTTTGTGTCTTCAAACACATATCCTTAGATAGAGAAACTCCATGCCAAAAAGGTAACACCCTTTCTTGGAGTTCTGCATGCTGAAATGAGCAATCACAGTATAAATGTACGCCGCTTGGGATAAACATAATATTCTCTTATTCCTGTCACAAATGACCTTGATTTCAAAAATCAAGTGGAGTTTCAACCAAATATTCTTCCCCACTATTAGACTATGGTTCAACTCCTAAATCTACATATTTTTCTACCTTGTGATCAAAGTCTGCATCATCACTCTCACCACTACTTTCTGACCTAAGATCAAAGTCACTATCTATAATTTCACTGCCCTTATAACCCCCATTACCATCCCCATCATCACAACCATCATCACCCCTATCAAATACCTAAGCACCGCCATGAATATTTTTTTCACTACCCTTATTAACATTTTTTTCACAACCTTTATTATTGTCTTTTCACTTTCACTTGTTTCACTGCTCTCTGATTCAGTTTCATTTTTTTCTTCCCCAATTCCACCCAACCACCTTCATCACACTTAAAAGTAGGCACAAATTGACCTTTATCCCCCAAATCAATGTGGATTTTCATCAGTCTTTTAGAAAATGACATTTGGCCCACCTACATAAAGTTGCATCATCTCCAACAATCTAAATGTTGTACCCAAGTTGAAATAATACCTTCTATTTCCTACACAACCAAATAGATCACTAATACAATCCAATGTTTCAACATCAAGTTTTGGATTCTCTATCCAGTCAAATATCATACTAGAACACCCAATATAATGCTCAATTGAAGAATGCACAAATTGACCTCCACACCAAAGAAGGAGACTTATGTGATCTCTACTTTTTATGGAGCCAAATGATTTGTATGTCTTTGTTGTCATTATATTTGTTTTTAAGTGCTTTATTTGTGTTCGTTTTAGTTTATTTTATTTTTTTCCTGGTCCATTTAGTCTTTTTAGCTCGTTTTTGTGTTTTTTTATTTGTTTTGGTGTCTTCTGTTTCTTATTTCTTTTTTTTATACTTTATTTTGTAGAAAAATTGCATTCCGAAGAACTTCATTCCGATGAATGACGAGCCATTGTCGAGAAGACCTAGGACTCGTGCCCAAACCGGTGCACGGTCGCACGCGCCCCGCAGCTCGTGTGCATATCCCTCGCATATCTCAAGATTCGGGCACCTAGTACACCAAGAAAATTTCCTCTGAAAACCATATGCATAACTCGCCGAAAACACTTTTGTTGCCGAGGAAATATTTCTCCATCGCCTCCATTACCGAAACCCATCTTCTATCACCGGGAACGTTGCGCGGCCACAAGAGCACTATCGCATAACTCTAGCTACAAGCAACTTTCCTCGTACACCAAGCCATTTTCATCAGAAAACCATATATATAACTCAACCAGACAATCGAGGTTTGCCGAGAGAATTCTTCTCTATAGTTTTCGTTGCCGAGACGACCCTTAAACTGCCGAGAGACCTGATGACGCCTTCCCAGCACACTCGCCTACGAACCAGGTCACGAGTGTGGACCTTCTCAGCAAGTGTGGTTAATTAAATGTGTGTGTTTTTAGTGTGTTTGTGGTGCAACAATAGATAGACTTGTTGCTTTGTATTTTGAACACACTCCCTCATTTCCCTACTTTTTAGTTGAAAAATTAGCTCTTTCTCTCTCTAGTTCATGTTTGGAGCTTCAAGACTTGAGTTTTCCAGCGAACTTTCTGGCGATTTCATTTTTGTTAAAGTTTCGAGCTTTTCACTCTGATTTTTCTCGAGCATGCAATAGAAGAGTGAGTACTTAGTTTTAAGATTCATTACTTTGTATTTGCTCTCTTTTTACTTATGAAGCTTTTCAAGGTAACATTGGTGTCTTATTTACGAATTTGGATAAAGTTTGAATCTTTTTAATTTTCTTGCTTGTCTAAGTGAATTTAGGAGTTAAAGACATGCTTATCTTGTGTTAAAGGTTGAGACTTTGTTCAAAACTTCATCATTTAGGTTAGAAGACTTGCCTTAACATCTCAAGATCTTAATACTCACATGTTTCTCTTTGTTTTATTTTCGTTTTTCTCAAGTTGTGGAGACTCTATGCTAGTAAAATTCGAATCTTAATTCAGTTAAAGTTCATGCCTTTAGTTAATTGCTTTCAATTGCTTAGGTTAAATTAGTTTAAATTCCACCAAATCATCTTGTTAGAATGTTTAGGACCTTATTTTCGTTTTTGTGCTTTGGACGACTAGTTAGTGAATGAAACTCCGAACAAGTTTGATTGAGAAACACGACCCGAGGTCTGGATTTATTCTGTACTCGGATAAAAAACTAACAAACACCAAACCCACATAAACCAAATAACAACAAACAAAACCAAGAAAAAAGAAGATTCAAATGAGCACACCAATAATGGTAAAATCTATAAATGTATTTATGATAAAATTAGGGGTTTCACCACATTAGTGTTAGAAATTAAGGTTTGAAAAAAAAAACCCGAATTTATCTTTAAAATTAGGGGTTTCAAAAGAACCTTAATTTGTATTCAGATTTAGTGTTTGCAAAAGAACCCTAATTTGTTATCAAAATTAAGGTTTGCAAAAAAATCGTAATTTGTCTTCAAAATTAGGCTTTGCAAAGATACCTAATTTCATTTTAATGTACAGATTTTGAACCTTAATTTCATCTCAACTGTACGAATTTTAAAATGTAAACTCTTTTCATCTCGAATTTGGGGTTCTTAATAAAATAGTGAAGATTCCATTCCACGAATCATGTTTTATATAAACAAATAAACAATTTCAATACAAAATAGAATTGACCGTATATGGAGGGTGCCATTGTGCATACGAATCTTCTTTTGGGATGAACACCTTCTTAGGAGTCATTTGAATTCTTCTTTCTCAGGACTTGATTTCGTTTTTCTTTCTTTTTTTTTCTTGGAATTTGGGAACGATTTGGAATTTCTTGAGGGAGAATTAATGCCTCAGTCTCTGAAATTTAAAATCGATATAGTAAAGTGAATCAGTTTTGCCTTTTTGTTTTCCCTCCTATTGATATTTGGATCCGCCCGATCAGGGATTGGTTGGCTCGGAGACCAAAATGAGAAAGGACGACCCCTCGGACAGAGCCGAACAAGTGACCGGTATCGGGTGCCGAGCTGGTCCTGAAGGAAAGTCGGTCACAGCGACGGTCCGTGGATCTAAGCGAGATCGGTACCGTAGATTCCGCGAGCCGACCTGACAAGGTCCCGAGGTGAACCTGAAACTCGGGCTCTCGGGGAAGTTGAAGCATTTAGGTGCCGACCTGGTTGTTCGGAAAGACGACCCGAAGGCAGGATCGGGGTCGGATAATAGTATAATATTCCCACTTGGTGGCTAATGATTGCAGATTGGACAACCCAACCTAGCCTACCGCCTATAGAGGGGTCTAGCATGGAAAAGTAGCTGACAACATCTAATGTGACCCAAGTGGGCATTAAATGCTTAGCCAGTAATGATTGAGAAACCCCAAATCGCATTTAATGATCTGTCAGAAAAGTGCTGACCAGATCTGCAAAAGGCCCGTCAAAAAAGATTGTGAACAGTGCCGGAATAGTGCCATTAAATGATACTATAAATAGAAGTCCTCCTCATTTATGGAGGGGTTGTTGAAACCTCAACTAAAAACTCTCTCTCTCTAAACTTATAATTAACCCTTGTAAGAATTGTAAGGATATCACAAGTGTCGACCTCGTACGAGAGGCCGACCCAGTGATCTATTAATAAAATTGTAATTAATTCGTATCTCCTCGTCATTTTCTCATTCCGTATTTTCATTACTCGTTTCTTTAACCGTTGATCAGAACCACCCATCAACACCTCCTAATCCACATGTCTTGACACATGGATTTTTTTTTCGTTTAATTTAAGACCGACAGTTGTTAATAGGGGTGCCACTAGGGATTCTCGGCTCCATGTAGGCTTAAATGAGCAGTTAAATCCTATCATGTGCGTGTTTTTGGCTCATGAATTTCCGACGAGTCGGGGACGTGTTTGTAACTTTTTTTAAACATAAGGGACTAAATTCAAATCGGCTATTAGTAGAAAACTAAAATGTTTAGAGGAACAAACATACAAGACAAAAATAGCAATTTTCTCTTATTTTTTCTAAAAACCTTGTCATATTTATTTTTATTTTTATTTTTTTATTTTATTTTTTGCAAAGAGGTCTCTCCCGCGCCAAACAGGACAAAAAACCCACTTCCCGCCGTAGCAACTAGGGATGCAAACTCCTTTCTCTCTCTACATTTGATTGGAAAATGAATTCTCCTCACGATCTGGTGGTCGGCGGCTTCACGGCAGACGCCGCAATGGAAATAGAAGAACCAGACGCCATGGAAGCTGATGAAAACGATGATCCATTTCTTAAATTCATAGACCACGCCAAATCTATTTTGTGCGACAATGATGGTGGGTCAGAAGAAGAAACAACGCATTCTCCGGGTTGGAGCTGGATCGCGAATCGGATTCTCAGAACTTGCGTTGCTTATTCAAGCGGCGTGACGCCTGCTATTCTCCTTTCTGAGCTTTCTCTGGTAATTGCGGTTTACATTTTTGTTTAAGGTGTTCTTACTTTCGAGTTCAGATTATGTAATGACTTGAGTTTTTAGTAAGTTAATTTTGACCCGAGATATGGGGTGTGCTTGGAAAAAGTGGTATTCTGGGAGACTGCGTAGCTACGATTTTCAGAGCTTTTTAGTATTTATGTGTTTACAGTTATCATTTCCTGGTGTTGCTTACGCATTAGGACATTGTTATTGATATCTTTACTGGTTGAGGGAATTAAATGGCGTTATTGGCATGCCTGTATTCAGGCTTGGCATGAGCAAAATAGAAGTGGAGCTCCAAAAACACAATCTGATATTGTTGCTCAGTTAAAGAAGAAGCACAAGAGAGTGAAGCTCCCAAACACCATCACAATCGACTCGATATATGAAAAAAAGTTCTTGTCATTGAGCAGTGTTATTGAAGCAGTTGTGATTGATGCTTTTACTCTTCCAGGTATGATGTAGGCCCTTATATTTTGGTTTTTTCTCTATCGTGATATATATGGGACTTAGTTGATCATAACTATGCTTTAATGCTTTTTCTGGTCTTTGCCATCTTAAACATTCCGTGTTGGATCCTTTTAGCTTTCTGAGTAAAGTTTCCACAATGAATTTCGGCTTCTTAGTTTGATTAACTTGTAATTCACATAATAACATTTCAGGAACAAACATCTCCATGCTCACTTTGGGGGATATTTGGAGTTCCCATACAATAGATCTCTATCTTCACAGGAGGTATAAAAAAAAGCGTCATGCTGTTATTTTTGTGACATGAAGCAGCTATCCGTTTATGATGTGCTATATATGAAGAAGAATCAGTTTGTGACATGCAACAGTGATCAGCCTTTGCCTCAAGCTGCCATTCCTCAATAAAACTGCAGAAACTTACCCTAATTATGGCCTATGATAATTTAGTTCCACAAAGATCAATGCAGACAGAGGCTATTCTGTCCTATTTTCTTAAGATCTTTAATACACCCCCTAAAGTTGATGATATATGGATTATTACCAAGCTGGCACTCAAATAGTTGTACTATGTGGAAGTTAGACTGTAGAGTTTAAGCAAAAAGCTTCTTATAGTATTTGTTCAACGGGAAACTATCTCTTTGCGTGAACTTGTTTCTACCTGGATGATCTAATTTACATCCTGGGGCAGGTTTTACGACATTGCTGATCCCAAAAATGG